ACACGAGAATATTCATGGAATTCAGACTATTTCTTAGATTTTCACAACGAAAAATTTACAAACGGGAAAATTACCTTTGTGATTATTTAATGATTTCTTTTAAAATTCCGATTATTCCATGCAAATTTTAATTTTTTTCTGAATATTTAATCAATATTTAATTATATTTAAATATTTGGATTTTTTCTCCACATATTGCCGCCAGAGGGCAGTAGTTTAAACGTTAAGGACATGCAGAAATTCCGATTGTATTTTCCAACTCTTCACTCCTATTTTCAGGAGTTCGAACACAGCTTTGATTGAGATCATTAAGAATACTCAAAAATCGACTAGTGATTTTCCCCTTGAAATTTAGGACTTTACATTTTAGAGAGCTCCTTTTGTCAATGGAGAAAAAGTAAACTACATATAAAAACATTTATTTGATAACATGTTGAAAATATTTAGAAGTTGCTGTACTTTCACTAAAGCACTTCCCGTCTTATCTGAAGCTTGAGTCACTCATCTAATTGTCTCACAACTCACAGCACGTCAGAGACAATTAGAAGCGCGACTTAAGAACTTCTTAGCAAACCGCTATTGCTGTAAAACGGCGAGTTTTATCTGTTAAATCCTTAGAGAAACCGCAATAGATTGTCGATTGCCTCACCGAAGTGGGAAAGATGGGAGATTTTCTCTGTGAAGAAACAACACGGCGCTGATGAGTGGGTTTTCTTGATGAGAACACATCATCTTGGGTGTTGCAAAATAGCCCTTGGTCAATTGGAGGTGATCAATTTGAGGCCATTCGCTCGTTGGCTGTGTGCGCCGTGCATTCGCCATAAGCCACCCAATTTCCTAAATCGATCTCAACGAGCTTCATGTCGAGGAACAATGACGAGAGGGAGAAGTAAAAAAATAATTAAATGGCTAATTCGAGTCGACAAGCTCAACGATCCGTGAAATAAAACGGCAGCTAATGATCATCATAAACATCAAATCATAGCGCGGGGCGAGGAGGCAAATTGGTGTGTGCGCGAGCAGGAAAGCGCCTACGGATGAACTGCTCGCGAGATCAGCAACTGCGATCTGCGAGGAGAGTTGGGTATCTCACTCTCTTGGGCAATGATGAAGGGATGATGATCCGATATCGGTCGGGCGATTGATCCAGAAGCCGATGCCAAGGAGAACGACCGAGTTGGCGTACTTTCTTGTGGCTTCGCCAGAGTGCACAGACTTCTTCCGCGATCACCATTGAAGATTCCCCCGAGATTCGTGCTCTCCCAGAGAGTTGGTGTCTCCCTGATAGGTTTCACAAGAAGCCACATGAACTCAATTGTGTGCGCGGCAGCATCGTTTCACTGTCCACTGGCTTATGAAGCGATGATTGTTTTATGGCACCTTGACTCTTGCCGATTGTTCAGGGAGATTGTGGCAAGAGAAAGACAGTGTCATGGGGAAATTCATGGGCAGGGTGAAAGAGACAAATCGACTGACTCTCTGCAAGTTGTCATCCATCCGGTGGGCAACAAAAGACGTTGATCTCGCAGATTGTCACGGTGATTTTGCTAGAAAATTTGATAAAAATCTCATTCCAGATAAATTTCCAACTATTCCTTCCCGATGAAAGAAGCGCAGCTCAATCTTTTGGGACTCTCATTGCGTCAGAAATCAAAAGGGGTGTTTCGTCAATGAATTCCAGATGGAGCGAAACAATCTTACACTTTTCTTATGTACATTTTCTTGAGGCGGCAAAGCAGAAACACAAGTGGAGGAGGAAAAAGGTACGTTGCAGTTGTTCGCCCAAAAATGTATGATAAAAATATTTTACAATTGAAAATACAAACTTTGTCACACTGTTTTCCCCCTGCGTGGAAAGAGAGTCTCTCGTGAAGCCGTCTTGAGAAGCTAAGAAGAAGAGATATTTTATCTGTTTCCATGATGGACCTCGGAAAAAGCATCTCAAGTGGATTGAGAATGAGTCTCTGACCACAAAAATGCATTAGTTTGAGGGTGAAGACACATTTCCTTCTGGCTGTTGGAAGTGAATTTCACTTCTAGAGCGTCACGATGTGGGACATATTTTGTGTCTCCTTCGCATCGTGGCTCTTAAAAAAATGTGGGTGGCAGATGATAAATATGTGACTAGCACATGCTCCTGCTCTCTTGTTGTCCATTTGAGTCACGGTGATCATCCACCTTATCAGCAGTTGCACAGTGTGTTCTCCGAATGGGAGTCATGACAAAAAATATCTTCTTCCTCATTCTCTCCAACATGGCAAAGGTGTGCGGGACTCTTGTGCAAATAGAGCGACAATAAATTTAAATTATAGAGAGAAAACTCACGTAAGTGTTGTATTTAGCTCCAATTTTTCTTTTCTCTCCATCGCCAATGGCGCAGGAGTGAGTGAGTGGAACAGACAAAAGAAGGCACTTTGGTGTGTTTATGGGACAGCAAAAGCGACTGATTTCAGTTGAGTTTCACATTTTCTTATCAGTCTGTGACGCTCAAATATTAGCGGACAGCTGGGATTGTTTGCTTATCACAATTCCGGTCGCGAGGGAGTGTGGAAGTGACAGAGAAAAAGCCATCAGCGTATGGGTGTGAGACGGCCCCCTTCTTCTTCTTTCCGGAATCACTCACCTTCATTGCGAGGAGAAATTTTTAATTCACTTTTTTTCTTCACTTCTTCTGTCGCTCCAGGAAGAGAAAAAGTGAACATCCTCTTGAAAATCCTCGTGGAAAAAAAAAACTTTCCAACCTTGATGGGGGTGGCGCGTGGGGAGGAAAAATGTTCACACATGTGCTGCTCGAATGCCATCTGCATATGAATAGGGAAGCATAGCCACCCACTTTCCGCCTCCTGAACTTTCACCCTTCACACACTTTCCCAAACCGTAATCCTTGACATAGAAAAGACGGGCACGACGAGTGGAAAAATCATTTCGCAGCACCAGCAAATAAAATAATTCGGGCTATTTTCACACTTTTCAGGTACTGCGCGGAACGGAGAGGGCACAGAAGATAAAGAGGATGGAAAATTATTGTCCGAGTTATTGGCGACAAAGACGCCGCGAAAAGGTCTTGTATTATTAAATGAAATACAAATAAAAGTGTAACAACTCAAACAGCCCAATAAAAATGAATCAGCAACACAATTTGCGTGCACTGTTTGTTACGAGGACAGGTCGAAAACCACTAGGCGTATGGTGAGAAATCCAATAATAATCGATTGTTGTACAACATGAGTGTATTAAAGAAATGGGTCGCGTAGGGCCTTTATGTAGAGCTGTTTGCTTGCAGTTAAATATTTATCTATGGTTAAGTAGAATGAAGTAATATCAATACACATCGTATATACATATTTGTAGGCTAGATTTTTCAAAAGAAAAAAAAATCAGTATTCAATTGTATACAATTTTCCAGAAAAGTATGCTAAGACTAAAGAATAACTCAAGAACTCCTACGAATTCGTTCTACTGACAGTTTATTTGAAGACATGCCGCAACTCTCATTTGAATTTCATGAACAATTAATCCTTTTCTCCGATTGTATGCTGAAACATCGACATTGCAGGGAAAAGTGGGTAAAAACAATCCCAACAACTGGAAGTGAATTAAATGTATGGTACATAAAGTCGTTTTTGCAGATCTTCATCTCCTTTCTGTGCCACCCTTACACGAGAGCAAACTCTGGCAGACGAGGAAAAAGTTACGATATTTCTCACGAAAATTTTATGAATGAAAAATGCTCAAGTGTGTCTGTCGTCATTGACTTTGTGAGTAAATTTGCAAGGAGGAAAATGTGTGAGGGTAAAACACTGTCAAGCTGTTGCGAAGGAAGGAAAGCCGGGCGAGGGATGGTGTGGAAAAATAATTAAAAAGAATCTCTTCAAACTATGTTGAAAAAAAGAGTCACCGTCTCGAAGGTGTTGAGCGGCAGGGGGAGGGGATGGATTTTCCTGTGAGGGGGTTGTTCTGCGGTTTTGTGTCTCCTTGGATGCCTTCCACGACGGAAGTGTGTCTCCTCGATCTCTTCACGCACCCACACAGTCGCAGGAGCGTCCGCAGAAGGGGACGGACAGCGGTGGGAGAAGTCGAGGGTGGTTTTCTGTGCGGACAATCGCGAGAGAGGATGGCACTGGCGTGGTGGGGATAGGAATTCCGATGGATCTGCGCAGGCGTCTCTCACACCTGATCTTCCTCCTTCCACACTGTATCCCTGAGCGTCGCACATAGAGTGCCTCTCCCTTTGGCCGCCGTCGTCGGTCCTTGTTGCTCACGTGTGCTGCGTGCTCATATGTGAGCTACTGTGTGGATTCCCTGCGGTCCAGAGAGGGCAGACAGATCCGCGTGTGTGTGTGCGCGCGGCTGAGTGTGTGTGAAGTCGGTCACAGCATCCCGAAGGACTCGTCTGAGAGAGTGAGGACTCTGGAGAGGGGATTCGATGGACGCACGCTGCTCTCAGCATCATCAGCATTGGTGGACTGTGTCAGTTTCGGACTCAGTGCCGAGAGAGTAGCCTTTGTCACTCCGAAGCAGGGCGCAATCAAGACGGACTCCACGGACAGTGGGCGACGGGATATTGGCAGGAGCAGGAAAGCCCTCCGCTCACGGTGTCGCGCGTGTGTGGGTGTCGCGAGAAGATTCCACGAGACATTTCCCACAGCGTATGTGTGTGCCCCCAAGAGCTATACATAAGGCTCACCCACCCTCCGTGGCCTCTCCGCGGCAGAAATACCTCGCCGTGAGTATCCGACGACGGATCCAGAGGCAGCAGCCACTCGAGAGAGGAAGACACTGGCTGGAGAGTGTGTTAGAGCGCCGTGTTCGCCGTGTGGCTCAGTCGTCGCAGTCGCTGTCTCGCACATACACACACTGGGCTGGCAAAGCGGGGACCGGTGGCCGGCGCTGGCTGGTGATATAACGTATTTGCTGGTCCGTCCACATTAGATGCAAACGGACTGTCGCGAAGTGCGGACGCAAATCCCGGGTTCCGTTATTGCCTCAAGTTTCTCACAATAAACACTTGAAGAGGACACTTCAGCATCACTGAGGGTGGACAGGCATCCGACAATTTCGGGCTCTTTTTCCACCGCCCAGCTATTAATTCCATTGATCATCAATCGCGTGTGACGAGTGTTTTCTTTTTGACCACCAAGAGCCCATCGAAGGAGTAGACAGCTCTTCACCTACGCATCTTATGGATTTCCTACCAATTTCCCACCACTATAGGTCAACAGTGACTTAGCCATGCGATCGCTCGAGTTGTTGAAGCTGACCTAAAGGAACCAGTCGCCACCGAAAGTGTTATAGACAGTGTGAGGAAAACTTAGAGTGTGATTCAGATTTTCCGAAAACTTCTCTTCTGAGGACATGAGTTGGTCGCCTGATGTGCTGGATTTTGTGATGCGACAGAAGAGAGAAAAGCGATAAAAAATGTGGCCGAGAATAGAAACTCCACAAGATTTTCGCCAGTGAATAATAGCCAGTGAAATGTGTGCAAAAATCTAGAGATTTTCTCTAAGAAACTCACAAAAACATGAAGTCAATTTAGTTTGAGAAGAAAATTTTCCCACTGATATGCAAAACCTGACAGTCGTGCAGATTCAAAGAGGACACAAGTTTTCCACAAATTGAACAAAAGACAAAACTTTAGTCCAATTAATTAAAAAAAAGTGCAAAAAAGTCCACGAGTAAAAATTATACGGTTTTGTGATATAAAATACAAGAGAACATCTAATTTGACAATGAAGTTTGGAAAGTGATTACAGAAATTGCAAATACAAAAAGAAACACTAAAGAAAATGATTACATCTTCCTGCAAATACTTTATCAAAATTAATTGAAGTTCTTCGTTTAATCAGTTATCCTTTGTTTTTCGCTGTTTTCAATTTCCCGTTTTATCGAATAAAACTACTCGTGGCGGAGAAATCGCTGCTCATTTCCACTGCGGAAAGCACCAGTAAAAATTTTCAATAATCACGAAATAGTTTAAAGAACCGGCAGCAAAATGAGAATTAAAATGCCAGCTGTTCGAATTGCACAAGGTGAGTGTTGTATTTTCCATATAAAGATGTGATTTATGCCCAAATGTACACCTTCTGCTGAGAACCTACAATGTACATTTTGTCACTGTTCGCCACTTGCAATTGTCCTGCATTATCCCAAATTCAAATCGTTGTGTTGCATATATCGTCCCATAATATAAGGGAGAAAAATCCTTTTGGTCCAGAGGTGCGAATCTTCGCGGCAGATTCTCTCTTCAACGGACAAATAACGTTCATTTACACCCTAAGAACACCACTCAGCGACTGACTGCGAGTAATTTTTCGTGCTTAGCGTTTAAAATTTTCCTCCTCGCTGTCGCGCTTTTCCCTTTTCACCACTTCGTCTTTTCGCGCTGCTGAGATGATGAAAAATTTGCATCTCGCGATTTTCTCTTCGCGCGATCTTCCCGAAAAATCAGCTGAGAACTTTTCTCTCACACTCGCGACGTCTTTTCGCCAGTGTAAAACTTTTTCCTAACACCCTCCCGCGCGCGTGATTTTTTCGCCTCATTTTCCGCGACTTTCAACCCCCTCACGGAGATTCTGCGGGAGAAATTTGGCGAGAGCGAGAGAGCGACCGAGAGAAGGCAAATTTTAGGTGTATTTTAGGGGAGAGGAAAATCATCGTCCTCAGACGGGATGAGGAAAATTGTGGGAAATACTGTCTTTGGGTGGTAGAAATATTAATTAGAGCAGCAACACTCGAGTGCTTCACTGAGTTGGAGACTCTCAATAGCGAATACAGTGAAAAATTTTCACTTTAAGATTTTCACGCGAATTTGTTCATCGATTTCTCAACACAGAGTTTTGCATGTTGGTGCATTCTTTCGCAGGCGAAAACAGAGCCATAATGCCCGCATAGGCAGCCGATAAATTTCGTGATAAGAGAAAAATCAATTATTATATCAATTTCACCTGTATCCACACTTATTCGCATTTAAACATACGCACATGTCGAAACGAAAAATTATCATTTTCTCCATTTTCACTCGACGAAGCGAGACTGCCAAGAGAAGTAGAGTTTCTCCGTGGTGAGGAGCCTTGGGAAAAGCGTGGGGTGGAGAAGTTAATGAATTCAGGTGGGGTGAGGAGGCCAGACGAAGGTCTAAGAATGAGAAAAACAGGCAAAAATTTTAGAGAATCGAAAAAACAAAGCGGCAGGACGTGGAAATTGATCAAACACGGTGGTTGTTCAATGAAAAGTTGTCCCAGTTGCTAACCGTTGGTCATTAAAAATTTCATCCCTATAGTAACCGCTGTTGAGTGTGGTGATAAATAAAGTTTTCTGTGCGAAGAACAACAGCCAGAGGGGTGTTGAAGGCTTCAAGAAAAAGGATCATAGTGAGGTATGGCAAAAAAAATTTGGATGTTTGGCGTGGAGATGGTCAGAAATCACTGAACCCTTCTTCCCTAATTCCATTCATCAGCGTCTGCGAGCCCTTTAACCGCTTGCCATCCCACTGGAGATTTTCATCCCTTCCGGGTCCATTCTTTCGTCCACTCTCAAGGTTCTTTCAACAGAAATATGCTAAGAAGCCCTTCAAGGCCGTGGAGATTGAATGGAACTCTTTCTGCGTCATTGCATTGTCGATCTACCGGAAAATCTTCGACGTTGTCTTCTTCAGCGGCTACTTTTTGCACCGTGGCGCCTCGCAATTAAGTTATTAAGCCGGAGGTAGAGAGGAAAAAAAGATTGATTTGGAAAATCACATAGAGTCACCACGCAAAAATTCCATTTTGCACATGATGAAATGGAAATATCAAGAAAAGTTATCAGTGGAAATTCAAATTACTATTCACAGCCTTATCACCACAAATATGGTGAAAATGCAAAACGGTGGAATTTATTGCCTTGCGTGTCGATCTGATTGATTTGAAGGGTGAATCGTTAACCCTTCAGTAATGTTTCGTAACAAACTCACACAGACTCATAGCGAAATCAATGCTCAAGGGGTGGGGCTTCGGCGTCACAGAAATAAAAAGTCTTGTCGGTAATTGAATTTTTGTAAGTCTAATTATGATCCAATAATCTCAATCATTCAATTGCATTTGAGAAAGCAATTGAAGAAGGATTAAACTATTTATTCACTCACCATTTAAAATAAAGGCAATTTAATTATACACAAGTTGTAAGAAAAGTTTGCAAAGCTGCTGTATCTGTGCATAGATGTATTTACATTATGTATACAACATGTATATTCGTGAATTCATGCATTACTTGCCATAAGTGGCATTTAATCACTCAATATGATACATTTTGCTGCCATTCACACAATTCAGCTCTCTTGAAACCATTCGAAGGCTACCCAGCTTTTGTGTGAAAAATGCTGTTGTCTCGACAAGGAGAAAAACTGTGTTTATGTACTACTAGTGGCTTGTGATTGGTTAGAAGACGAAGAAGTGAGTCAATGGGTGGTCAAAGTTGCTAAAAATCGGGTCGCTAAATGAGTATTGCAATGGAGGCACTTTTTACCAATTAAAATCTTTCATTTTTCAGCAGAAAAAACTCTCAATTGTGGGTTATTAAAAAGTTTGATTTGTTAAAAATGTGGCAAATTTCCACAAGTTAAATATATAAAATGCGCTCCTCCGATTTGCATTTTATTTGAAACTCATTTAATCAGGAAAGTTTGTATTTCGCCTACACGCATTTGTGTGTATTTTTTTGGGAAAGAGTCGTTTATCGACTCTTGCTGGGTGGACGATGTTTCCCGATATGTTTTATGTGCGGGAGAAAATAAGAGAATTTTCATCGCTTTGTTAACTCCACGGGTTCCTCCGCAACCGAGAGTCGCGCACACAGATTTAGTCGTTTTTCCCAGTTAGTCACATCGTTATCATTTTTCATGTTCTCTCGTGGGTTTTCTAATTGTTCGTGTTCACTGTTATTTTAATAAAGGGATGTGTTTTAATTGCGAAAACCACCCTCTCTGGTAGGAATAAATTTTCCTACCTGAAACTTTGTCTCTGCGCTACGCATTTACACTTTTTCCGTGGCAATGCAATTTATTGCTGGGTTTTCAAACAGAAGTTTCCAGAAATTCATTAGTTAATGAAGAAGTGCATCTATTGGGAAAAATTGTGAATTTTACTGAGGCACAATTGAATGAGCTTCAAAGTTGACACTTGTTTTAATGAAGATAAAAATATGTCAGGATATCTGCCGCGAGATTTGTGCAGAATCAACTGAGTTGGCAGACAAGAATATCTCATTTTAATAGGAAAAGATGGAGTATTTTGCAGAGATTAAGAGAACCGTCGGATGACGAAAAAGTTATTTTACAAACATTAGATTTATTCATTTCATTGATAAATTGGTTCAATGCGTCTTTTCCGAGCGGTCGCCAATTACAGACCTGCTGTTGGAGTCTTCTGGCCGAGTTGGTGCAATAGAGACAATGAAAATAGAAGAAGATGTACTCATTGAGGATTGATTTTTGTAGGAGTGCAGCTGAAAGAGGGGAAGAACTGTGAATGAAGCACTTCGCAGTCAAAGAATGATCGTGTGGAGTTGGATGAACAAAGAGTAGCGAATCTCTCGAATTTCTCCGCCAGATTGATAGTAATCTGTGCGGTTAGGAGAGGTGAATTGATCACCACTGACCATAGATCAAATTCTCCTCTGTTTTCCGTCGATCGATCGATGATGATTTTGCCGCAAAGGCATAACAGTGGCGATGCTGCGACAAAGAGACTTTTCAATGGCAACGGCGCGCAATGGCAAAGGAGAATAATTAAAAGATTTTATATGTGTATTTGCTGGGGATATTCATGATCAAGAATTGTCGTCCGTGGTTTTTCCGCCATGTGGATGGAGATGAGGGAGGGAAAAGAAAGAAAGGAATGAGAGGAGACTAAATCAAGATTTTACTGTCTGATGGGTTTGTTTCGTTTTCAAACTACCTATGCACACCGCATCTCAGAGCATATTGCAAAGTAATGTGACAATCTGCGGTCAATTAGAAAAACTAAAATCTATGAATAATGTGACAGTTGGATAATTTATGCGATGCCCGCATTTGTTTTTGTATAATTGAAAGGCTAAATGCATCAGTGGAAAAGTCTCCACCATCGAATGTCTCTCTCTCTCTCTTCGGGAGTTTCACTTGAAAAACCAACCGTACTTGGGTGCCTGCATGTGAAGGCGCAGACAACACAAGAAATGAGGAGTGAGAAAAAGATCAAAAGCTCGCGAAATTCCCGCCAAGGAGAGAGAGATACAAATTTATTATTGACTCGACAATTGGCGCCAAAATATTGATTGTCTTCGCGGGCTCTTTCTCAAGCTTTGCATTCCGGGAACACCTGATTCTCCCACAGCGAGAACTGATCACCGAAATCTCTGCGATCTCCTCATCGCGCCATCATATCTTAGCGCCGGGAAATCGTCGTCAGTACACCTCTTCCTTGTGCATCTTCGCGCCCAATTCGATTGTATGCGCGTCATTTCTCTCATTTGGCAAAATCCGCAAGAATCCACACCATTCTCGCGACTGTTCAATACCATCAGCGTCTCCGCGAGATAATTCACAAATGAGACATTGAATAGCGTGAGAAATGTTACGATTTCAAGAGAGTCAATTTCTTTTTCAACACTTTTGTTGTCCACCTTCTTTCACACAAATATTCATCAGTGGATGTCAAGAGAGAGAGAGAGAGAGAGCGAGAGCGAGAGAGACCTTAATTGTGGGGCATATATTGTGGAATTCATGTATTCCTCGAAATGACAAATTTGCCCGGGTAATATGGCCGAGAGAAGAGGCAAAGGAAATGAGGGAGGAATGTGACAATGTGTATTTGTCAGAATTTTGGTCATTTTTCAGCTCTTAACCCATTCATGTCCCTCCTTTCACGCACAACATCAATCTCGAAGGTTGGCCATTTATTCAATTGCACAAATCAGTCTCTGGACAAAACACAATTCATATTTTCCCAGGTTGCCCGACTTTTATTCTTCTGCTGGGTAAGTCAAGGGTGAGAAAGTATGGCTAAATAGTGTA